TGATTCGAGGCACGGTTGTGTTGGTCTTGTGGTCCGGTGCTTGTGGCACTTGAGAAGAAGGATTCTTTGTGAAGTAGAGACACCGAACACATTGTCAATTGTTTCTGAGTTATTTATATACTGGAGGTCAAGATGTCTCTGTGCTCAAACACTACTTCATTGCGTCCACAACCTGTGCAGCAGAGACATGGAAAAGGCTTGTTCTACGATACCAGCAGTTTCCTTGGAAGTTGGCTCAGGTGTCTGACACAAGGCTTTCTGACCAAGAGCGCCTACGCACAGCTGTTGAATTCAAAGAGTCTTCGCCATGCTGTCTAGATATGTTCAGTCGCAAAGTCCGTGAGGCACTACCTTTGGATGAACCATTCAGCCACACCTATCAGGATTTTCTGGCAGTGTTTTGCGCTGGGAAGGTAACCAACATTACTGTTGAGGATGGGTTTGCTAGGGCAAGCTCCATGCGGGCATACATGAGGGGGCAAGTTCACAAATGCCCCACAATGTGTAGCAAACATATGCTTGCTGAAATCAAAGCAATACACCGAAAGTGCACTGAACTCCATGCAGCTTCTGCAGACTACATGGTTCTTGATAGATGGAGAGCGTTGGAAGACAGTCAGCATCAAAGTAGCTCTGGTTTTTCCAGATCTGATTCTCAACTCACAAGTGATGGCTCACAGCACTCTTCTTCTTCCAGTCAGCTTGTGTGTGCAGCGCAATTTTCGAGCACCATTGTTCGCCACAACATGCCAGACAACAAAGCTACCCAAAGTGGCTTAGATGGCTGCGATCACCATGCAGCAAAGAAAGGCACCGGCAAAGGTGGAACAAATGCATGGACACTTTTTCGGAAAAAGTCCTTTGCCAGCATGGTGAGGGGTCCATTGGAGAGCAAGAAGGACTTTCAACGCAGATGTTGGACTGCAGCTAAAGAAGGTTTCAGCGCACTCAAACAAACAAATCCATCAGTCGTAGCACATATGTCTGAACAAGCAAAAGAACATAACCAAGTAAGAACAAACCAAGCAAAGCAACCAATCCAAGGGAAGCAAATGCAGCATGCGCATCCACTGGCGGCAGAGGTGCTAGAGGAATTGGTTAGCAATACACCAGGATTTGTCAAGGTCAACAGCAGTGAGTGGCGTGCTCGACATAGTGAGGCTGTGTCTGTGCCTCAAGGAACAATCGCTGCTGTAGCAGATCCTTTCTGTCAGTCTTTTTGCAAGCGTAGCTTCAATGAGAATGTGTTGGCCAAGTACGACTTGTATCGGCAAGCGCTCCGGTCCTATGTTCGAAGGTTTTCCAAGATGAAACTCAGGGGTCAGCATATCATCGTTGTCACCGCACCACGCAGCGCACATGGGGTCAGTGCAGGGAGCGAGGTGTGGGAGACGGCCTTCTATGTTTGCAATGCAATGTTCAAGCCATTTGACATGGCTTGCTGGAAATGCACAATCGTTCAAAGGATACCACATTTGGCACCTTGTTTGTCCTTGTGTTACACTTGTGACTGTGGGTTTCTTGTGGCTAGTAAGGGCGGAAACTAACTTTCTCAAATAGAAAGCGACCAACATACATACTACTGACCAACACACTGAATGATATGATTGATATCATGTCATATCATATCAATCATTTCATATTGAATCAGAACCATCTTATTAAATGCATATATATATAATATGTATATATATAATATATACAATTTCATTGTTTGGTTTCTGCCCAAACTGAACTTAGGTATTACAGCTGTTGATTTGGAATGAGCGTCACAGTGGGAGAAAACAAGGCTTCTTTATGTCGTTGGACATGATTGCCAAGTTTTTGGCTGAGCAGGGTCCACCGCAAGTCAGCTTCCAATTGGTTGCTGATTGGACTGTGGTCAAACGAAACGATTGCCTTCACATTATCGTGAACACACTGCCACCAGAGGAACCTGCAGAACAGGTTGCACAAAAGGCTGCTGTTGACCCAGATGAGATGGAGGAAGAACTTTCCTCTGTGACTGCATGTCTCAAGGTAATAGATGGATCAAAGACTCGGCAAGGCAAAGAAAGTGTTCACAAAGCTGCAAGACCGATCTCACAAAAAGAAGAGACCAACACCTGCAGGTCAGCGTCTCAGGTACTGATGCTGTACTACTGGCACCACTGTATGCATGCTGTATGCATGAATGTCACACGTCGTACACCACACTGTGTAGGCTTGCTTTTGTTGTTGCTGCACGGTGTTTGTGCAAGTTGGTGGGAATATCGCAACAAAGGTTTGCTCACCTGTGTTCACAATAGGTTTGCTCACTTCTCTTTGTACTTTTTGATTTCTGGTGGACTGGGGTGTTCAACTAACAAAAGCTTCCAAGCCACTTCCATCCTGAGAGCTGTGCCCAATTGGCAGTTTGTACAGATATGGATATGATTCTAGGTAAAGTAAAGGTGTGTTGCTTTGCTCTCTCCAGGTTCTTCTGGACCGTCCTCTTCAAGCAGGAAGCGTCAACACACAGGAGAGCAAGCTGCTGTTGAAGATGTTGATGTGGATGCAAATGATAGGGGTGAGGATATCTCTGAGTGGGTATCTAGCACTTTGCTTCCGGATTTTGATGAGAATGGCTATGCATATACAAATATGCATGGTGACAACCCAAAGGCAAGCAGGGAACGAATTGGAGTCTTTGCTTGGAGTAGGATCTCTTTCTGGTTGTGTCCAAACTGATGCTACTTTGTGATACTTTGTGTTGTTCGGGTGTAGACAGCTACTGATTGGCCAAGGAAGGGTTTGTGATTTCAAGCGTGGTGTTCAAGGGCAAGAAGCGCTCAAAGTGCAATGCTTTTTGCACTCCAAGTGCAGCAAGTTCAAGCGCATCGCATTACTACCAGATGCTCCAGATGCAAAGATTTACCAATGGCTGGTATTGGGACTGTCATACCCAAACAGGGGGGGATGCGAGCGAACATCTCAAAGAGTAACCTGACAGAAGAAATGTCTTGTCTTCTCACTCAGTGGTTTCAACTACTTGTAGTGCCTGAAAGCGTTTGAACGTGCATTGATGCAAGGTGGGATGCCATTGTTTGCTGAGAGTGGGTATGTACCAGACTGTTTCGCTGTGAGGGAAATAAAGCAATGTCCAGCTGCAAATGTGACACTCAGAGCAAGTGTGTTACCAGTGCATTGCTCATCATTGCATCAGCGCCCGGCAGCCTCAACACTGTACTGAGTAATCTGTGTACCCCCAATATTTGTTCTTGGTATATCTTTGTGCTTCCTCCCCACCACCTGCCCTGTGCCCGTTCCTTTCTCTGGACCTTGTACCCTGTACCCTGTATCCTGTACCCCGTACCCTGTACCTTGTACCTGTGCCCTGTCCCCGTCCCCCGTATCCCGTACCTGCGCCCCGTACCTGTACCCCGTACCTGTACCCGTACCCATACCCCGTACCCCGTACCCCGTACCAAACCCTACATCTTGCTTATGTAGTGGAGGCAACATGTACCCGTGTACCATTCTCCTTAATAAGGGTAATATCCTTCTTATTAAGGAGAACGGTGCATAGGTACAAGGTTTAGGTACGAGGTACGAGGTACAGGTACGAGGTACAGGTACGAGGTACGAGGTACAGGTACGAGGTACGAGGTGCAGGTGCAGGGTGCACCTTTGCAGTGCAAGCAGCGTCCTTTGCATCATTTAGCATTGTACAGGGCAGATATCATCGTTACAAGCTGTTTTGGCGCAAGTGCACATTGTTGGTTCGTGATTCTTATTGTGCTCATGGCGAGTGAGTCTGGGGAATCTAGGCGTAACTCCGCCCGTGGCAGTGAGAAGGATGAGTTCAAAGTGATAGTGGACCAAGCGTTTCTGATCTTGCACAGCCTTCCTCTCGACTATAAGGGGTGCAAATGTCGTTTGTGTGGACACACTTCGGTAGAGATGTCTCCTTTGAATGAGGATGTCAAGGGAGCCAATGAGAAATTTTGGCCACTGTGGCCTTGGTATAAGGGGACGAAGGAATGTCCGAAAGGCTTCTTTTGCTTGAGTCTAGTCTGCACTATGGTGTAGCTCTATGTGGGGACGTTTGTGAACTGACACCTAGATTCCCTAGATTCTCTGTACATGAACTCTGTCAGGATCTGCATGAACGTTTGGTTCATTGCTTTTGCAAGAGGGTTCAAGAGCTTGAACGAGTATGTCGTGACCATCCAGCAAGACCCGCTGAAGAACCAGGAGCTGTCAGCTCCTCATTTGCTTTGTTCTATGGAGTTAGGATGATAATTGCAACATGTTTTCCTAACTTCACCTGACAAAACAATTGCTTTGTTGGATCAACTTAGGATGTCTTCTTGTAAGTTGTACATTCGGAAAAAGAACGCAGATCCATGTGGCCGGGTTCGAAGTGCTGATGAGCTACGTGGTGTGTGCGAGCACTCCGTCAAGCAACAACAAACTGAGGAGCTCATTGCTCCTGAGCGTTGGTTCGTCGAGCTCAAGAATCTACCTGCCCACATGCCAAAACCAGACCCGCAGACATTATCACAAAGACCTTCAGGGGTGTCAAAATGTCAGGAGTGATGGTCAGTGATGGGAGACCTGGGTGGTTCAAAGTGAAGGACTCCGAAATTCAGATGGTGGAGTCGTCAAGGACCAACCCAACTGAGACCTTTGATGTACGGGAGAACCAGAATGTCCTGACACACTCTGCTTTGACATCTTCTCTGTTGAGTTCATTGGAAGAACTCAACAACATGGATACTTTGTACACTATGGCTCACAATGGTCGTGACCCTGACTCAGGCAAGGTGTTCTGCTGAACATAACATTTATATTGTGTTCTGATATATATAAATATAATAAACATGTATATTATTACATTTTTCAATGTTCAAACATAATGGCTTTCATAGGGGTGTTTTGTTCTGCTGAAACGTGTTTGTTTCCCATCAGGTGAGCCTGTGCTGAAGAAGATGAAGCAGCCTGAGAACACAGAGCAACCTACCCCTGGTCTACCTCATCTTCTTGAGTCCGAAGATGATGGCATGAGTGATGTGGATGGGGGGATGGACACTTTCTTTCAGTCACGGAAGCCAGTGACCCCAGCTACTGAGACTACCAAGCCCAAGCAGCGTGATCCGAAAGGAACAGCAGAGAATGGTAAGGACGAGAGAGAGAATACCAGGCCTAAGGCCAAGGCCAAGGCCGAATCCAAGAGAAAGCCTACCAAACCTTCTGGCAATGCAAGAGAGGGCAATGAGTGGGCACGGCAAGATGAGGATCAGGTCAAGAAGTACACCGCCGAGATGGATGAGATCACTGGCAAGTGGTCCTCAGTCATGTTTCAGGATACCGATGCTGAGTTCAATACCTTTTGGTCTGAAGCATCTAAATCGTTGAAATTCATTTCAGCATCCATCAAGACCAAGATGAAGAGCTGCAAGCGGCGCAAGGTGGACAACCCAACAGCTGCGTTTGATGAGGTTGACCAACAGTGCACTATGCTCACTTCCTTTGCCAAGGAGATGGCATTGCAGAGTCCATCAGTTTCCGTCCTACACACAGCCTTTGACATCGAGAAGAGTGGAGTTGAGCTTTCCGCTACAGTGTGGATGAAGAAGGCTAAGGCAACGCTTTGATTTGGGGCAGGGTGTCTACTGTTGGTTTAAATGTGTTTAAATTAGATCTAAAACATGTATAGGCTCGTGTTTGATTGTGACCTTACTTGTGGAACAGGTAGACCTTGCGGAAGACTTGCGCTACCAGAAGCTTGACCAGATTGCATTGTTTTTTCAGGGAAACACCGAGGTGATCAATGTTCTTGGCAGGAAAACAACGCCGATCCCTTTGGAAGAGTTCATCGATATGACCTTGGAGCAGCTTTGCCAGAAACTTCTCCGAGCAATCAACCCGCAGAAGGCTATGTGCTGCAATGTTTGGGGAGTGGCATGATGTTTCAGCGGTTGTATGCTAATCCAGGTTGATATAGTCATAGAGTCTTAGGTGTCACCAAATCTTTTAAATCTAATACTATGCTGCTTTTGTGTGATCTGCAGGTGATTGGGCCAGCCTCTAAGCCAGTGCTTTGGCTCTTGGGCAAGATAGCTTCATGCGACTCCAATCTGGCCCTCAGCGTTCACTGCAGCTCACAAGTGGTCAAGTTGAATCGCATTTTCGATCAAGGCGAATGGAACCTCCCAGCGGAAATCCTTGCCATCATCAAATCTGTTCGAGAGAGTGGTGATGACTTTAAGCTATTTCGTGCCTTCAGTGCTCTACCAGCAGGACACTTGTTGGGTTTTAAGGTCAAGCTTTATACAAACACATACTTCTACAAATATATATCCGGGATATCATTACAAGGGAATTCATTGATAGCGGTTGTTTTTGGTTTGGCACCAGTATTAGTATCACTTGGAAGGAAAAGCTTTGCTGGCAACGTTTGAATCAAGGGCTACATCTGCCAATGAAGAGAATGCAGACTTCCAGCCGATCTCTGAATTGAAGACTGACATTTCTCGGTTGCTGGATGAATGGAAGGACAAAGACCATTGCTCACCAGAATTCTTTGCTGCTGTTCAGTTGATCTTGAAGGAGAAGATTTCCAGCATCGAAGTCGGTGACAATGCCGCAAAACAAACCTTGCTCAAAAAGGTTTGTGAGCCTATCGGTCAGCTTGTGGCGAAGGCGATTGACTACCACTGCAGAGTGGAGCTTTGCGGCTGGCTGAATCTTTGCATGAGTCGGACTGTTGACAAGAACGATCTTCCAACCATTCCAGTTTGGAGCATTGGGCAGCTTGCTGACAACATGCACAAACTGCAGAAGGGTGTTGCTCCATCGACGTCTTTGACAACCCTCAATGTGTGTGGGTCTTAGTTGAGTTCCTGTTGTTGTTTATGGAAATAAAACACACTGACCATTGTTTGCAGTCATGTTTTTCTGTTTAAGAAAAACATATCAATGATTCTCTGAATCAACCATTCGACTTTGACAGAGGTGCCACGCACATTTGGCCAAAGTCGTCGTTGCTGTCAATAAGATGAAGACCAACCCATCAGATGTTGATGTCCGTCTACTTCGACAGTGGGAAGGTCTAAAAGCATCCCTTCAGAGCATGTCCCAGGACAGAGAGTTTCATCTGGCTTTGACTGACTTCAGTGCTTTTGTGGCCTTGACAGCGGAGAAAGCCACCAAAGCATCTACCAATGATCTTCTTCCACAAATCAGGTCTTCTTTGTTGGCGGCCATGGATGTGAAGGAGGATGATGGTGATCAGAACAAGGCACGGGAGACCAAGTTGAGAGAAGCCAATGATTTGATTCAGCGCTTGCAATTGCTCAGTGCGACACGCAACGAAAATGAGTCACCTGAGAAGAGGTTTGCCAAGACGGCTCGTACTTGGCATGACATGGTCAATTCCGTTTCTCAGTGGGGTGAGAATAGTGGTGTGAATCAGAGTGCAATCTTGGAGAACATGAGCGCACCTACCACAAAGAAGGAGTCTCAGGCATTCTCTGCTATGAAGTCTTGGCGCGCAGCAGCATCTTCGGGGTTGACTTTCACTCAGTTGTGGGATGTCATTTTCCATGATGACAACCTTGATGCAACACAAAGTACTGAGCTGAAAGGCAAGATTGAAACAATCTGGAACGAGATGGATACGTGCCTTCATGCCAATGCTCCTTATGTTTCGACCATGATTTTTTTTTATGTTGTGTTTTAATGTGAGCAGGAAATGGCAATGCGCTTGAACCTGATTTTGTTTGCAACAAAGGTTGACTTCTTGTGCAAGCGCTTGAATGACTACTTGGTTGAGTCACACAAGGGTGTCCTTCACTTGGGATATCCAACAGAAGCTTTGACGAATGAGACTACTGACGCATACAAAAAGCTGTCAGACAATACTACCTTTGGGAATGCAGTGGAGGCATTGTCAGTTGCTTGCGCCAAAGTTCCTGAAGTGGCAGAAATGTGTGGCATCAACGTACTGTCTGGCTCCAATGTTGCAGACAATCTCAACAAGGCGAAGGACTGCTTGCTATCATCTCGAACGGCTTTGGTGACTTCGGTGCTTCTCAAGACCATGTCATCCAAATCTTTTTCATCAGCCAGCACTTTGCCAGCAAACAATGCAGCTGTCACCAGGCTGAAGGGCACCCTCAAAGTTCCACTGGATGCCATTTCCAAACATCAGCTTCCAGTTGACAAGGCATTGATGGATCAGGCAAAGGCTTTCAGTCAGAAGCAGTGAGTGCAATGGCTACAGAACAGAGCCATTTTTCTCTATGTGCAAGTTTCATTTGTTTCCTGTGTCCCAGCCGCCACAAAGTGTTTTGGGTTTGTGAAACGAGTCATCATGTGAATCATACATCATATATTATATATTGTGTATCGTTTATTTGGTTTGAATAGCTGATTGTGTTGGTGTTCACTTTAGGTGTAGTTGTGTGGCTGGACTTCCTTCCTCAAACCGCAATCCTGGCAATCCTAGGTAACTTCAGTAGATTGCGGGCTAATTCAAAGTTTGCACTGGACAGAGCATGGTAGGTAGATTGGGGACATTAGGCCGTCGTCAACTTAGGGTAGGGCATTGCTCCAAGCATCAGCATGTGGATAGTTCCAGAATTCCAGAAAATGGAACTGGAATGAGCATGGTGCGAGCAAACAATGAAAAGAGCTACTGAGCTACTATTGTATAGGTGGTGTGTCTCTACTGTTTGAGACTTTGAGACTCGAGGATGTGGTGAACTGGTTTGTGACGGTTTGTGTCTTCTGAACATTCTGGTTGAGTCTGAAGTGAAATCCTATCCGTGGAAAGACTCATTGTAAACAGAAGTTGTAAGTCAAAGACAATCCACACACAAAATTGAACCACACATGTTTGCATACTTATTCTTTTGGAGACGCCACTTTAGAGCCGCCATGGGCCCAAAGGTGGCAAAGGCTAAGGCTGCAAAGGCAAAGGCTGCGGATGCAAAGGCCAACTCGGCAAAAGCCAAGGCTACTCCACCGAAGCCGAGGCCGAAAACAGTTAGGGCACTACCAAAAGCATTGGTGCCACCGCCATCAAGGCGGACTTCGAATCGGAATGACTCAGATCATGAACCAAGTGATGATGAGCCTGCAGCGGCACCCTCACCAAAATGCAGGAGGCTTGAAGATATGCCAAATGTTTCCATGTCTACCAGGCTATCAACAGTGCCAGGTCAGCCATCCCGACCAGACATCACCAAGTTCTCGCAGCAGAAACTGGAAAACATGCCTGCTGTAATTTGGACCAAACGAAACCAGCAGGGAGAGGACAGTGCTGCTGATTCTGGTGGAGTCATCGTTGCGCAAGGCTCGGTTTCGCAAGATGTGAATCCACCTCAGATCGATTCAGCTGCTTCTGCTGATCCGCAACAACAACAATTCGTTCCTCCTCCTGCTCAGAACCAGGAAGCGATGCCCTCTATGGACTCTGATTCAAAAGAGGCTGTGATGGAGGTATCACCGGATGGCATCCACATCAGAAATGATCTTGGTTCTGGCGCAATTTCCTTGGATGCAATTGTGCGATCTTGCACCAAACTGTTAGACGTTCTCACTGGCGACACATGGACGCATGAGCTCGACCATTTTGGTTTTCATCAGCTTCAGGAGGATGAGTTCACTTTGTTGATGAGTGAGGCAAAAGGTCATGTCCGTTTGGCGGAGCACATTGCAGATGTGCATGCAGAGCTTGGGCCAGATGCGGACGATTGGACGTGGGGGTCCGAAGATGGAAACCCACTCGAGGATCTCTTGGCTTTCATTCGTTTCTTGACCACGGTTCTGCTTCACGCTCACCAGCAGCTGCTGATGGTCAACCAACTGCTGGCCATGGAGGCACTCATCCTGCACCTTCATCAGCATCTGCTGCGGCACAAAGTGCTGATGGTCTTCCAGAAGCAGGTGAGCCTCAACCATCTCAATCTGCAGTGAACCCGGAGATTGAGACTACTGATAGCCAGAAAACCCGTTTGAGTGAACTCCTGAGTGCAGAGGTTGCTGAGCACTATGCCAAGACGGAATTGCATGAGAACTCTCAACATGCTGACAGTCAACCTCAGGAGGAAACAAAGGAGACCAAGGATGATCAAGAGGCCAAGAATGATGAAGATGGAGGCCAGGAATTCTTAACCAATTCATTCAATCTCATGAGTCATGAGAGAAGAACAATTGCTCCTGGTAGGACAACCTCATGTTTCCGGTGGGTCAAGCACCTTTGACGATCGTGTACGTGACCCAATTTCCAAACAAGTCGATATGTCCAAGTTCCTCAAGGAGTGTGCTCGCTCTATGATTGATGCTTGAATGATATTTTGCCTGCAGGTGCCTGCTGTGTACTCTGTCTGTGCGTATGTTTGAATTTTTGTTATATTTCCACAGTCCATGCCAAGGACAAGTTGATTGAATATGAACCAGAGCTTGGCAATCTTCTTGGTCGATGGGGGAATTGGCCATTGAAGGTTGCGAGTGTTTGTACTGGATCAGGAATGTCTGATATCGCTTGCCAAATAGCACTTGATGTCATGGGTGAGATATGCTGCTTACCAGCCTATGCCACGACAGTGTTCGGGTCGCTAGCATCAATCATCCAGAGTTTTCTAGAGGTGATATTACTTTTGGGGTTGAGTGTTACTGCAGTGTATTGTTTGTTGTTGTCGGTCAGCGCTCAAGGTGTGAGTTCAAGAAGAACAAGCGTCAATTTCTCATTGATACCGTCTTTGGCAAGAATGAGTCTGTGTGCCTGTTCAATGATGTTACGCACATGTCTTCCGCCACTGAGCGGAAGTGTTCCAGACACAACAAGCAGTGCCCTGTTCCCAAGGCCCAAGTACTCATAGCCGGAACATCTTGCACAGGTGCCTCCAGATTGAACGTCAAGTTTTCAGAGCTCAGAACAGCAATAGCAGAGAAACGCAAAGATGTCCAAACAGTAGCTACTTTGTTTGGGTTCATTGAGACCCTTGAAGAATGTGGCGCAGACTTTGGCTTGTTGGAAAATGTGACAACGTTGGGGGATCCTACAGGGGACAAAGATGACAATTTGTCTGCAATGTTGAAGCTGCTAGATGAGGCTGGTTGGTGTGCGCAGGTGCAGACTTTGCACACGGCAGATTTTTTCCTGCCGCAAAAGAGAACAAGATTCTACATTTTCTTGGTCAAAAAGACATGGTTGGTGGAAAAAGGCAAGGAACCAACAGAATTCCAGCATCTCATTAGTGAACTTCTTGCTGTTTGCGCATTCAACAAATCATCTTTGGTGGTTGACGACTTTCTGGAGCTACCGGACAGCCCATATATTGAGGCTGAGCTTCGGAAAATCATGGGCGACAAGGTGGACAAATCTTCTAAGGAATCTCCTAATGCCAGGATGCCAAAATGGATGACAGATCACATGGACTTGTGTGAGAAGCTTGGATTGTCATGGCCGCCGCCAACACTTCCAGACCTAGTGGACTCAGACTGGTATCAGGTTGGGGTAGTGTTGGTTTACAAATGGTGCTTGTTCAAAGGATTTGGGCACAGCCATGTCATTTGATGAATTCTATGTGACTGTGTGCTAGTTTCCTTTTCAGTGTAAGTTTTTTGAATGCGCACGCAGGCTTTGCCCCAGCGAGACCAAGAAATTTTGAGCTTGAGAGCTCATATTCAATCCAAGAAGGATGGCATCCTTGATTTGAGCACAGTGCTTCGGGACAGAGTGGTCGATACAAGCCAAAGTGTGAATAGGAGTTCGATTTCGGGACAACAGTTGACCAATACGTTAACTCCCGGTGGTTCTTTTTGGCTAGGCACCCACAAGCGGATGCTGTTGGGGCGTGAAATGTTGTCCTTGCAGGGCTTTCCATGGCCTTGCTTCGACAAATTTGACAATCACACTGAACATTTAATGGCAGACTTGGCAGGAAATGCCATGAGTGGACCTTGTGTGATGGCAGCCTTTTTGGGTTTATTTGTGGCCGTTCTTCGCCTCAGTAATTCCAGCATTGAAGAGGCTGAATTGGACGAGCTTTTGTCGAGTTTAGGGAGAGCAATGTAAGCTCCTCAAAGACAGATGTGGAACAGATTTGTCTGTCAATGTGGACAAAACATTGCGAGCACTGCTGAGCCTGTGGAGGGAAAAAACAGCGAATAGAACAGCAACAAGGGCGTATCATTCCAAAAGTTCACTGCTGAAAGATTTTGGATTGTGCACCCATGGTACTTGTTGACATTGTACCCTATGATGTGCAGTACATACTTCTTAGCATGTACCGTAATGTACCGTGCCGTACTCTTTACGTGTACCCTATGTACCGTACCGTACTCTTCAGCGTGTACCCTATGTACCGTACCGTACTCTTCAGCGTGTACCCTATGTACCGTACCGTACTTTTGATATGCACCCTATGTACCGTACCTGTCCGACCTGCCAGAGTATTGCTTTTGAACTTTGCTAACTGATGCAGGCTAAGCTTAGGCCATGAGCGGCTAAGGCTATGATTCTGATTATGTTATGTATAAATCATGATCGTGATGAGTGATGACTCAATGACTCATTGTCATTGTCATTGATTTGACTGACATTACAGTACATTGAATCCATAGTTGTTTTCATCACTTGATTAGACTATTAGACAATTAGACTAATTAGATTATATGTACAATAATATGTATACCAAACCACAAGCAATAGATAAAATGTATATCGTTTGAATCATATGATTCTGATCATATCATATCATGAGGAAATTGTGTGAATCAAACAGTACATCAGTGCACCAATCTACGGAGACTGGACCATACCATTGAGTTGAGCATCTGAGGTCTAAGGACTTTGGATCACCAAATGCGCGAAAACGGTCTACATCATGGGACTCCGACAAGACGTGGGCGACAAGAGAGTCTTGCTCCAGATGTCAAACTTCATAGAGCGATGCTGCGGGAGGCATACCAGGATGAGTTTGAACGCTTGTGTCTTGTCTAGAAATGCAAAGCAAACGCATCATACATGCACACTAGAATCACTAGAGCCAGGTCAAACCAATTTCCGGTTTTGAGCGCTAGAGTTGGGAAAACGGTTCATCAGCTGTCAGCTCATCATGTAAAAGTCAGAAACTGAAACACATAATAAGTAACTGGGCCAATCACCAATGAATTTAGTAAACAGTGAATGGTGATTATCATTGTTCAGATACATCTTCCGATTCCTGGCGCCTAAACCTGTGGATTGGGATGTCTGTC